GTGCTCTTCCGATCTCCCCAAAACCCCAAAACCCCAAGAAATTGAATTGCCAAATATTTATGCAAATGCAAGTTTGGTATCTTAGAATAATATTATACCTATATTTTAAAAATCACAATTATCCTCTGGATATATAGATGACTAGTGTATCACCGATTCTTAATTCTAAATCGACATATCTGTCAATTAGAAGACCAAGTCTTTTGACCTCATTAACTAGCCCAAGATCATCATCGATTCTCCTAGAGTTATTTTTGGCCTTTGTATCTTTAACAACAAGTGGAATTCCGAGAAATTCATTTACCAGTCGTCCTTCTTTTGTTGCTTATAATTGAATTTTAGATATAAGGCCATCAATACCAGCACATTCATACTTTTTTATTGTGAATAGGTCGAATAGAAAATCTAGATTTATCAATTCTTTTTATCTCTAGAAGTACCTGCTATCATACCACTCCACTACTGCATCTTCTAATTCACATATCCTGCTCATGTCACAATAAATTTTCTAAGCTTTGTCCTTTGCTGCCCGCATTTTTACATCCTTATCATAAGAAATCACATTTTCTTTAGGTGGAATTGTCATGTCGCAGTCTAGCCATTCTAATGATTCAATATCTACTATTCCTTGAAGGCAGTAGAGATTTATTGCTATCTCAATTGTGTCTTTTTAGCAAATCTACGTAATAGGCTAAATATATGGTCTGCTAATTATCTAAGCTACATCAGGTGAAAATTAATATTGTCTTTGCTAATTTAATTACTCTTACTCATCTTTGTGTATCCAAACTATTCTTTCTGAATTGGCCTTCTTTACATCCATTTTATAATCAGCATAAAAAGACTGGCTTACTTTGTCCTTCTAAAGATACTTAAATGAGTAACTGATTCTAAGGCATTTATTAAGCATCTTAGCGTTATTTAAAACTTCACAAACTAACACCCTATCTACTCTGATTCCCTTTTATCCACAAAAATGTATAAGTGATGAGTTTGTATAGGATTTTTTGAACAATATATATTCATAATTTTTCATTACAAAATTGCATTCAACTTACTTGAAGTATTCATCCATAGCTTCGAGTATGCTGTGATGCCATTATGGCGTGAGACAAATGTATTTCCTAAAGTTTTACATGTCGAAGAGAAGTATTGTCATGACAATTTAATTATCTAGTGGACAATTATTGCCGCCAAATTAGATTTCCCTTTTCTAATAAAAATGCTAAGTGCTTTTCCTGGTAGACATCATTAAAATAGATTAGTCTTATTTATTTCCGTTGCCTTTAATTTTTATCTTATAATGAGTTGGCTATTATTCTCTCTCCTTATTCGCACTTAATTGCGATGTTTAAATTTATAACTAAGGAGTTGAATATTATTCCTATAGGTACTGTACATCCATTAATATTTGCTGATAACTATTTTATGAACGAGCCTTTTCAACTTAAATGCCTCCATTTGCATGAGGCAAACGTGATAAATTTAAGCTTTCATATTTAACTTATTATTCGTTTCTTAATTGATTCGGTTTCCCTCTATCCGGTGATTTTCTTTGTCTTTATTGCAGATCTAAATTTCTTGCTTTTTCATAATTAGTAATCAACTACTTTTAAAGGTAACTAGTTGCAAATTGATCACTTGTTTGATCTTAATAGGAGTACCCTCCATTTATATATGTGGGCTACAAACTAAAGCTGCTACTCATTTGCTAATCATAAGAATATTTATTCATGCCAAAATTATTTAGACTACTTTGTTATAATGGCAATGCTTGATTTTAATTCATTTAGCTGAACTAATAATCTTGAGATGGGAGCTAAATACTTAAGTTTAATTCATGCTATTTTTGTTTGCTAAACTGAAATTATTTTTAATCTTATTCAGATTGATTTGCTCCAGCACTATACTACTTTTTCATTGTACCTGGGGAATTGAATGTTTCATTATCTAATTGTAAGCCATTCTGATAAGGATTGTAAATGTTGTTAGGCGATTAGCTTCTTTGTAGTGCGGTTTTAGTTTCACTATTATTATTGATGTTATGATTATGGAGCGAAGTCAAACTTCTCTAGGAATATAACTAGCTGTTATTAAGCTACTGTTCCTATTATTATCTTATAACTCTTGTAGTCATTGCAGAGAATAGATTTTTCTTATAATTGCCATCATTTTTCAACACTTTAGCTCCATGTCTTTGAAATTGTGGTTTTTTTAGATTCACGTCGGAGCCTCTTTATACCTCTTCATCTTCATTATTCATTCTTGATTCAACAAAACTTTTTAAATTAGGTATTGATTAGCTCATTGCCTACCCATTCTAATTACCGTCATTATGAGTTTTCTTAATTTAGTTATTATGGTAATCTAAAATTGGTTGATTTTAATCATTGTAAAAAGATGCATGTCCATTTTTAGGATATTAATTTCTGTCTTAAATCTTTTAGACGTGATCTGCAAGATCTGTTTAATTCGTGGTCTCTTTTATTTCTTTATCATTTGCATCTTACGAAAATGAGTTGTTCTAACCCATTTTCGATAAATACATTTATTTTAACTTGTCAATATAGTTCATTAATATTTTTAATAAAATCTATAATTCCTTATAAATAATGATCATGGGGTTTTGGGGTTTTGGGGTTTTGGGGAGATCGGAAGAGCACACGTCT